TACTTCGAGTCACTGGCGAGCTTCATAGTTTTGTACGGTCCATTTGGCAGCCCAGATATCAGTTCGAGCTAATGACAAGGATCTGAGCTTAATTGCAACTCCGGTTTTTTTTATCGTATTGCCATTGCGCAGTAATTCAGCTATTGCTGACTTGTTCATAGTGCTTTTTCACTGACATTAATATAAATGTAACTTATTACTATATTATTTAAAAAATTATTCAGTTTCTTTGATTTTTGATGAAAAACAAGAGGCTTTGGTGATCTTGTTCAAACAGCAAACTTTCACTTTACCTTAGAAAAAGGTTGGAAAACTAAATATCACTTTACGTAGAAAACCGATCAACATCAAACGCTACATCACTTTCCATTCCAATACCCCGACATTCATGAAAGCTGTCCTGATTCCCAAATTATAGTTCCAGAATATAAAACGGTGGTGAGACACTTCTTCCCTTTATCAAGAGAACAGCAACCTTCCTTATCGCTGAACTGGAAAAAAATCCTGCATCCGAAAATGTTATCAACGAACAATTCTACAAAGTAAAAAATTCTATCCAAAACTCAGATGAAACCGAAACAAGAAGAGAAGGTTTCCGAAGCCACCTTTTCCTGGTGATCTCGTACCAAAAGAACCTATGAAAGATCAAACATTTCATGCCAAGGTGCGGGGTAACCACGGTCTGCAAATCGCCAAAAATGGTTGACGGTTTCCCGCATAAGAAATGTATTATTCCAAAATAAATCAATACATGTATAATACACCGAATAAGCCGCTCGTGCCACGAAACTTACATTGAAGAACCCGGTGGCAAACTGAAGAAACAAGTCAAAAAACACGACTTGACTCACTAGAGTGTCTGACGTAGTTGAACATATCATAATAACTGTGTCATTGGGAGGATGCAAGCACTACCGTACAGTTTACCCGGAAACTAACTTGCAGAAGAGGAAGATCCTGAAGCTACTGTGAAGCGGACTAAAAGCAAAATCAACAGGTAGGAAGAAACTTACAAAATCAGCCCAACATGGCTTTTCCTGTTAAGTAGTTAAGCTGCGAATAAGCATATGCTATCTTACTCAAATTTGCAACCAGTAACTCGTCATTATACTTCTGCTAGGTGGCACCAAAACCCAAATCATTGAAATGCATTAGGAAAGAGCCACGGTCCCGTAATCAAAACAGAGCTCGTCATTCAAAAAATAAGAGGGCAACTACTACAGGTTTGACCCTACCAACGGGTGGTTTGCCACCTTAAGATCTAGGATCGTTACGGATCTCACTGCAAATTTAACAGTGGCTACGCACATCCTGTAAACGGTCTAAATCATTTAAATAATAAAATGGAAAGATATTTGAATAAACTATTTGTAAACTTTGATCTAAAAAGGACCATGTATGAACGCTCTAGAAAACTTACTACTTTGAAAATCTTTGGAGCTGCAAAAGATTCACAAATAAAATATTCCGTTATGACCAATTTGTGGAGTGCATTGGAAGTCCCACGTACAGCATTGCAAAGTACCTGATTGGAGTCATAATCAGTCTTGTTGGAAAATCAGACAGGTTCATAAGAGACAGAATACACTTTAAAACAAAACAAACTGACATAACGATTCACCACGACGAAGTCATGGTTAGTTTCAATGTGATTTCACTCTACACCAGCGTACCTATTATAGAGAAACATCATGCACAGAATTAAAGCTCACTACGGATACCGGAGACTGGCTAGGGCAAATGCACAAAGATGAATCAGCAAAAGATATTGAGCTGCCCAAAATTTTGTATGGAAAACTCTTGATTCACT